TGTTCCAAAGCTCCTGAAGGCAGGACAAGAAGCAACAGATGGAAACTAATCAAGGAGAGAAACAATCTAGAACTAAGGAGAAACTTCCTGACCGAACAATTAACCAGTGGAACAACCTGCCTCCAGAAGCGGTGAATGCTCCAACACTGGAAGTTTTTAAGAAGACACTGGACAGCCATTTGTCCAAAATGGTATAGGGTTTCCTGCCTGAGCAGGGGATTGGACTGGATGACCTACAAGGTCCTTTCCATCATCATCATCATCATCATCATCATCATCATCATCATCATCATCATCATCATCATTATTATTATTATTATTATTATAGAAGTGCTTTTCTATATAAGAGAAGGAAGAAAGGGAAATAAATATAGATTCTTACCGCAAAGACAACAAACCATAATTGTGGAGGTTTCCTGCCATAGCAAAGGAGAGAATTCCCAGCTTTTAGCTTTTATATACGCTTGCTAAGGGAGAATACATTTTTTTGCATTGGTGCCATTTCATTTGGAAATAGATAAATAAGAACCATGTTTCTGATTTGAAGAGAAAAGAAGAATAAAATGTCCTTATCAGCTTGTGCAGAGTTCTGGTTTTGAAGTTCATTGTTACATGGCTCCTCCAATAATTGGAAGAGAAGACAGGACAAACTTGCTATATATAGATATATATTGTTTTACTAAGAATCAGCCATTAGTAATGCAAATTGGAAGTGTGGAGAGGGTATGTGCACCAACTTAGCTTGTTTTTATTCTGGGGTCCTTGTTACTTTTATTTTTATTCCATCCTGTTAATAAAGCCACTGAATGCAAGATGTATTTGAAGGAACTTTACAACATTTCAAATGACATGTGCTGATTGACTTCTTCTAAGACATAAGGGTATCAGTTATGTCTGAAAAAGGGGAAACGTTTCTTTGGAGTTAATGTTTCTGACTTCTTATTTTGATTATAATACTAAGTTTGTTGAGATCCTGAGCTAAATCATGGGTACAGTGTAGAATGTAGAATAACAGGTGTTATAGAAATGAGGGTGTAGAGGACACCAAATGTTGGCCCTTAACGGTAAGGTTTATTTGTTCAGTAATCTATTATATTTATGGGGTTCTTGAAATATATAATAGGCATTTGCAAGCTGAGGACTCCAGGTTTAATTTTATTTTTAACAATGGATAACTTCCTCCTCAATATTTGAAGAGAATGAAGGAAAGTAAAGGCTATCAAACAACTTGCAAAGCCAATCACTATCTTGCCAGTTTCCAAAATAGATTAAGATTTAAATTGCTGTGCATCCCTATCACAGGATAACTATATAAAAAATAAAATATCTACCATAAGGATTAAAAAGAAATAAAATGAACATTATAAATAAACTCCTAAATCAAAACTGTTCCTATATTATAAATATTCACTAACAACAGCTAGAAAATTATTACCACTACTTTCCAGGAACTGATGTCTGAATGGTTTTATTTAGTGCTTTTTTTGTAAAAAAAAAAAAAAAAAAAAAAAGGTGCCGGAACTCACACACGTCATACAACTCGCCTTGTCTACCTGACAAGGTTTACCTTTGTAGTTGAAAAAAAAAACCCCACCCTTCAATTTTTAGTGTATGTAAAAAACTAGGATTTTGTTCAAGATAAGTTAATATTACTAATGTTACCATGCACTGTGTGGCTTTAAACTACAAGAAGAAATTTTATTAATCTTTTGGGACATTTACCACTGGCATACCCATTTAGTTTAATGAGTGGAAATGTCAGCTTTCTATGTGAAATGAAATTGGCCCAATAAAACAAAATTTGGTTGCTTGTAAAAGATTGAATTATTTTTAGGAAGTTGCCAAACAAGATGGAAAAATTTACATTTGGAGTTTAATATTGATATTGGCTTGAAACAAATTAAAGTTGAAACTTTGTCAGTGAACAGATTACTTTTAATTTACCTTTAAGTTAAATCCAATTTAATAAATAGATCTGATTAAACATCATACTGTAGGTCTACCTTTACATCTGACCAATACGTAATTAATATATATTATTATTAATAATAATATCTCCGAATCACATTGGTTTATTCTTATTCTTCCCCTCTGCAGTTTGAATATAAAGTATAAAAGACTAAAAAGAGATTTTTGTAGACATCTCGGCCTTTGAATTATGCAAGGAACCGAAACAGCAAAGTTTCGCTGTTGGGCAAGCTTCCACGCCAGCGGTCTTTCTTTCCTCTCGCTTCGCCTCTTTTTAACCTCACACGCCACCTTCTGTAAGGGAAGGCAAAAGGCTCACTCACCCTCTTATGAAAGATGGCCTCCATATTTATGTGTCTCCCACCGCCACCATCAGCTTCCATGCCACATGGTTCAACCCAGCCAATCAAGCCACGCTCTGGCTCTGGTGCTCCGGCGCCTCATGGCTTCTCCTAGAGGAGGCTTACAGCACAGGAGGGAACCCCGCTTGCACTATACTGCCAGGAGGGCATTTTCAAAAGCAAATGAGGATAGGAAGGACAACAATAGGAAAAGAACGCAACTCTGGAAAATCCATTGAATAAAGGTGCCGGAACTCTGTTCCGGTGTGTTCTATCACAAAAGAAGCCCTGGTTTTATTTATTCTGTGGATTCTATTTGAAATACATTAAAATAAATGTTTATTGAATGTATTTTGACACAACCTATTATATATTCTACAAAGTTTGGCTGGGTTCTTTTTAAAAATAAAATATGAAGAAAAGCAGAAGCAGAATAAAATGGCTAAAATATGGAAGAGAGTGGAAATAGAGTTTTATTTATTTCTGAACAAGAACAAGAACTGTTAACAGAGATTATATGCATTGCTTGGTTGATGGCTCAGTATGACTGAATTGATATTATGAACCAAATTAGAATTAAATAACTGGAGGATTCATATCTAAATATTATTGCACACATCTATTGGGCAAATTGATGTTTAATTCCTTGTTACATCACTATTTCTTTATAGTTGCAGGAAAGAATGAGACAAAACAAAAACAAAACAAAGAAAAACAACTCTTGAGGTTGTTCTCTTAATGAGGAGTTAATACTCAAATTCTGTATAAAAGCCTTCCTATTATTTGTAATCGGCATAATAACCATAATGGTGACTTGGACAATTCAGCACAAAACATCAGCTCACAGGAAATGTGTCATACATATATCTGGTTTTGAATATTATTATTTTGAACTGAAATGTAGTAGGACTGTAAGTGATATTTTGTATGGAAGAGATCTTGCAGTTTTCATATTACTGAAACCACATTTGGCAAAGTGAAAACAAAAGCTTACTAGTAAGCAAACAGGAAGGGGAATATAAGCTTCATAAGGTGGCAGAGATCAGCATATTTTTTTTCTTTCAGTTCTAAGTCACAGTTTATTTACAGATTTTTCTTACTGTTATTTGAATTTATGATGTGCAAGATAAAAATGTGAGACTCCTCCATCAAATTCTCATCAGAGACTGAACATTCATCAGTCTTCTAGAAAATGTCTTTGTCTTGCCTTAGAAAACATTTTAAGTGTCTTCATATGAGAAAGTTCTTCATCAGATGAAACACATCTGAGAATATTTTTAAATATTTTTTTAAAAATACTTTCATTGCTATTACTGCAAGCTATTTTCCTCTTTTTTTTCTTCCCATACAGTAATACTGGACCAATTGTCCATAATTTTATTATCTCATTCCTCCACTCAAATGAAGGGCTAAATAAGTAAGTATGTAAATATATAGGTGATTGATAAAAGCATTATTTTGGTACAAGCTTTGGTAAATAAGAAGCCTTTCTTTCTTTCTTTCTTTCTTTCTTTCTTTATTTATTTATTTATTTCCTTCTTTTTTTCTTTCTCTGTTCAAGAACTTTGTTGTGTTTAAAATTGTTACTTTTTTTTCATCAAAAAGTACCATTTTGAACTGAAAACCATTTTGACCACCATTTGGGAGCTGAAAGCTAGAATATAAATATGATAATCAATGTGAGATCAGATGGTGTTTCATTATTTCAATACCAATAAATTTATATCTCTCCTTCTTGTGTATTCCAGTGTTTGAGAAAATACCAGCCAGATTTTAACAACAACCCTGTGTCTGAAACACTTGCTGGAAAAGAAATGACTTCCATCTGTCACACAATTCAAATTACTTTTTTCCTCCTTTAGGCCCAAATTTACCATTGGTGGGTTGACCTTTTATCTCATTCATAGTGGTGTAATTAGATTTTTGCTTTGGAGGTGATATGCCAAAATCAAGAACTGGGGGAAGAACCAGTCAAACACACTGAAGTATGAAACCATACACTTTTTAAAGGACAGTCTGCTTTACTTCATAAAATGGTAAGTCACAAGGAATATAGATTCATTCTGATTGTCTTAAGATTTTTTTATTTAAGATTTGTTGATTTTTCTTCGTCCTCTACTCTTATGAGCTATATTTGAAGTAGAAATTTATATTAGTAGCACTTACATTTAAGTAAGCAAGTCTACAACTAGGTTTAATATTTTGTTTTAATTAACCATACTTTATTGTATACACCATGGTTGACTGGTCCACACAACACCCAAAACATGATTTACAAAATACATGCAAAATATATTTTTTCAATGAAATTCAAAGCTCTGTACAATGTGTCAATCAGTCAGCCAGTGTGTTATTTTTTCTTAGCATATTTTTATGTGTACGGTGTACTGTATATTATCTCAAACATCAATGTAAGCAATCACTATCCAACTCAATAGCATTTACAGTATATATTGCAAGTCTACAAACTTCAACTTACCCAGAATTTTCTGTTAATTTTTTTCCTTGATTTGGTTTCTTTAGAAAACAACTAGGCTGAATTAGTTGCATTACTAATTGTTCCGGTGGATTCATAGAATGAACTTTTCTTTTATTATAGTGTCTTTCCTTTAAAGTGATATGTATCTCAACTTGTGCAAAGATATGTTGATGTGCTTTCTCATCCCACCCCACCCCAATTGTTTTCAACAGATGAGAATAAATAAGAGTACGACAAATAGCTTCCTATTGCTGGGATTTTCCAGTTTTCCAAGTCTGGAGGGTTTGTTCTTTACTACTTTCTTTATCATCTATTTCTTGATCCTAATTGGGAATGCCTTCATAATTGTTATAACACTGGTTGATCAGACACTCCATAGCCCAATGTATTTCTTCCTGAGAAATTTGTCCTGTCTTGAAATTTGCTACACTTCAATCATTATACCTAAGATGCTTGAAAATATTCTCTCAGAAGATAAAACCATATCATTTATCAATTGTGCTTTTCAAATGAGTCTCTTTCTTATCACAGGGGCAGCAGAATGCTTTCTCCTGGCTGCTATGGCTTATGACCGCTATGTTGCCATTTGCCAACCCTTGCATTATTCACTCATTATGAACAGCAGAGTCTGCTCTGGGCTAGTGGGTGCTTCCTGGCTAGCTGGAATTCCAGTACAACTTTCCCAGACTTTCCTTGTGTTTGCCTCTTTTTTCTGTAATTCAAATGAGATCAATCATTTCTTCTGTGATATTCCTGCTTTGCTTAACCTGATTTGTGGTGATACAACTATAAATGAGCAGGTAGCTCTGTTAGAGGTTATTTTGCTTGCATTGATACCCTTTGCTATGATCTTGATGTCTTATATTTGTATTGCCATTACTATTCTGAAGATACCATCTGTTGAAGGAAGGCACAAGGCCTTTTCAACATGTTCCTCACATCTCACAGTAGTTCTGGGGTTCTATGGTTCTGGAATAATTGTCTATGTGACACCAAAGTCAAGACATTCTTTAGATAAAGATAAATATCTGTCACTATTCTATACTGTTCTGTCACCATTGGTAAACCCTCTTATTTACAGTTTGAGAAACAGGGAAATCCAAATTGCTTTAGGGAAAGTCCTTTACCTTTTTTGTTCATATGTGAAACTAATGCATAAAAAATAACTAAAATTCTTTTCTAATATTTTCTGATATAGATATTAACAAGTTAGCTGTCTTGGTGATTTTATGTATGCTGCCAATGAGTTGAAAGCTCTATTTCCTTTAACCCATAGTTTTACCTTTTCGAAGTGTAATATCCTCCTTGTTAATGCAAAATGATTTATATATGAGATGTTTCTGTCATTAAAAAGAACTTATAATATGAAAATATAAGACATGAAATTAGGGACTGAGAACAACATTAGGCTTTTTTTTCAATTCTTGTGTTGCTTTGTGCCCTTATGACCATCATTCTCTTTATCATCAGGTGAACATGCAAAAGAAGAACCTATTGTTTTTATTTCCAGCTTACTTTTCACAGAGGTTATTGGGTATCTCAACATTTAAAAATGAAACAGTAAAGAAATATGAAAAGTAATTGACCTATTCTCTGAGAAATAGATCGTACTAGTTTCATCAAAATCAGAGACACATATGTTGGTAGGGGTAATTGAGGTTACTGAATCCAAATATTTATTCAATACAGAAATGTCAGCTCAAGATTCATGACAGATAACTCTTTCACTCCTCTGAGTGAAAGAGAGACAACCTTTTCTCTAGAAAATGGATTTCTAGGTTTTTGTAAATTTTTCTAACATTGTATATTTATTACTTGGGATGCTGAATAGAAGTGAAGCAATATTTATGCTATAGCAAATTACCTTAAACAAAATTTAACTAACAATGTAAACATTTTAATAATCTATGTTAAAATCTTTCACTAAATTATTTTTCAATCAATGTCTTACCTTCACTACTAACTCACCAGTATTTGTTTATGTTCCTTTTGTTATTACTACTATTACCAGTAATATAGTATATAAAGTTGTACAGAGAAGGGATTTCAGGCAGATTTTAATAATATTTTAATTTGGAGATAAAAAAGACAATAGTCACAGCTAGCACATGTTTTATTATGTCATATTGTTTCTGAAAGTCTATTTGAGTGTCATATTCTCGTATTTCTATTTAATTTACACATAAAAGGAATATTACCCAAACTATTGTTATATATAATTTATAGTATTTTTTTACTGGTATTTATGTTAAATTGTTTTACTTTTTCTGTTTGGAATAATTCAGTCAACTGCTGTTTTATTATAATGTTTTGAGAACAAATGTGCATGTTTTCTCTCCGTATGTCATACACATTTCCGTCATGAATGTGGGAATAAACTTCTGTTTCAAAATTTGTTTGGCAAGGAAAACTTTTCATTGCTTGTCTTCAATTAAGCAAGGTCCCTCCTCCTTTAGAGTTTATTTTCAATCACATCTCTAAATGTCTCTGTGAGGACACATAGAGTTAAAGCTAACTTTACATACCATTCAAAAGAAACAATAAACAAACCTAGAAAGGAGACTTTCTAAGAATATATCCTCAGCCATCATTAAAACAAGCAAAACATCAGAAAAACAATTAGGCAGAAAAATAATATAATCAAGAAACCACCAAGAAGAAAACCGTATGCCCACTAAAATTAGCAACACAAGCTACTAGATACGAAAAGGCATCAAACTCACATTCACTCACACTGATGCTATTATCTAGTTGGGTAATGAAATGTTGGCAAGGAAACAACCAAGCTCTCTACAGTTTGACTCTCAGCTACATATATTCTCTTCTACTGGAATTTCAAAGCAGTTTGACAGTAATTTGGTTCCTAGAATGTCCTGTTTAAGCACTTAAAATAATGTGCTTTTTGTTTTATTTAATTTTTCTTTAAAATGTAGAAAATTAAAATGTTTATTTTTACATAGATATTGTTATCTATGATGCTGATTTTTTAAAAAAAATCTCTGTTTTTCTTTTGCTTAGACCAAAAAGGAATTCTCCATTTCTGTTCAGAATTAAGTTTTCCATGGCCTGCTTTTAATTTGTCTTTTCTCCCAAAGATCTTAAAGCTGTGAACTTTATCCTCAGTTATGAATTGCAAAGAAGAGATATGCTGATCAGGTGTAGGATCTAAAATATCTTCTGAAGTACAATCCTTATGAGGGAAGTAATCATTTTCAAATTTAGTCCATTAATCCCGTGGTACAGAGATGAGATTATAAATAGGCAGTCTTATATCAGTGGAAGAATCCATCTCCATAAGAAGAGACAAAACCAACTGAACTGAATGTATATTAAGGTGAAAATCTTTTTTTCTTTAGAACTTCATGAATGGCATTTGATTGCATTTAAAAGTATTTAAAGCTTAAATATGAGGAAGGGAAGTGAATGGTACTAAAAGTCCTCGGCCTTTGGAAAGTTGGGGAGTTGTAAATTATATATAAAATCTTTATCAATAGAGTGAGAGGACAGGGTAATAGGAAGATTCATTAGCAGACTTAATATGCTGGTCCTTCTTTCTCAGATGCGGAGCATGAAGATTCATACCCTTAAATAGAGATTAAAATAGGGTAAGTAGTGCCAGTAAATTTAACTTTTTCACCTAAGGAATGAGATATGTGCATTCTGGATTTCAAATATAACCGATAGCTTTTTATCTCCATAATCCAAGATGCTGCATGAAATAATTACAGCCACAATATAGCAATCTAATTTGAAAGTTTGCTACTGTATGTTCCTTTATATTGCATTTTAGTACAGTGAAAAAGCATGTGCCCCATTTTATTTAGCATTTGTTAAGGCAACAGCTGGTAGTTTTATTTTTATTTTATTTTTAGAGATAGATAGACAGATAAATAGATAGATAGATAGATAGATAGATAGATAGATAGATAGATAGATAGATAGATAGATAGATAGATAGACAGACAGACAGACAGACAGACAGACAGACAGACAGACAGACAGACAGACAGACAGATGACAGACAGAGAACATTAAGTCTGTATATTTGTGTCACTTTTTTAAGTATTGCTTGTTTTACCTTTTCTAATATGTAGTTAAAAGCCAGAAATATGAGAAAACCTACACTATGAGAAGAATTCCTTCCACAACCTTAGATTCCATTCCCTATTTTTATAAATAAATTTAAAGAGCAGTTAATTATATTAACTACAAAATAACTACTACATTAAGCATTCCTCATTATTAAACAAAAAAGAGGACCAATTCTCTAAGTACACTTAATGTTGGAGGGGATGTGAAGTGAATCTGATCATTCTGTCTTTAGTGTCTGATTTGTGACTTTTCATTTGATAACTGGTTAATACTGAAGGAAATACACCACAGTAATAGTGGGTGAAAAGGATGGATGGATGGATGGATGGATAGATGATAGATAGATAGATAGATAGATAGATAGATAGATAGATAGATAGATAGATAGATAGATGCTAGATAAATCACCAGACATAGCACCTATAAAAGACTATAAGGCATACATTATTTTCAATGTCAGCATCCCATGATCCTCCTTCTAATTTTTCAACTATCAAAAAATGGGGCAGAAAATTGAAAATTAAGTTTTATTTGCAATTCTTCAAACATGAGTAGAACTCTACTGAATTCTGGCTTCTTTGGAAGGAAGGAGTTCATCTAGTGGAATGTTAACTGGATTTATCACATTATTTCCTCAATATTTTGTGCCAAAGAAAAAAGACACAAAGGGGATAGCATTCATCTAGCATTCTAAAGAAAATTATGAAATAAAAACACAAAATGTCATCCACTTCAGAGGAAGACTAAAGCTCTGCTGATACATTTTCCTGAATGGATGGAATCCTGAAAGTGTAAAGAGAATGGAACTGCCATGATCTCCATTGCACATTTGCATACTTAAGCAGAATATACTAGTATGACATCTACTTTTGCCTTCCAAATGTAGGCATGATCTAAGAATCCAATGAAGCAAATGTAAGTAGTGCTCACTTTCAGAAGTTTTGCCAGAAAAAATATGAGATCTTGGAAACTCAGAAGCTTAGCTGTGTGCACAGATCCTTCCTACTCACTGCAACACTTCCTTGTCTTCAGAAAAAAATATAGAAATCAGGAAAGATAGCTGGAGAAGAATTGTGGAAGCATCCAAAACCATCACAGACAGCAAGGAAAGTATTTTCATGTGAATTAGAATTCCTTTTGATTTTACAGCTCTTTAAAGGGATAATTGAAAGAACTGAACTAGTCCCTTCTTTTGCTACATGGAGGCTGCAATGAAGTGAAAAATGTTTTGCACTCTCAGTCAGGTAATACTTGGGAGGGCATTTAGACCAATTGAATTTATTTTGTATTTTAGGATGAAATTATAATTCCCAATGAAACCAGTTCTTTTTCTGCCTGTCTCTATCATACATAACATATAGAACAACAAGTAACTTAAATCTCATTTCTTCAATCCTATTGAAGCCCTCATATGTCAAATAATAGGTCAACCTGTATGTTTAAGAATGCAGCATTAGTAATTAGCATCTGTCTGTCTGTCTGTCTGTCTGTCTGTCTGTCTGTCTGTCTGTCTGTCTATCTATCTATCTATCTATCTATCTATCTATCTATCTATCTATCTATCTATCTATCTATCATCTATCCATCTATCCATCCATCATCTATCTCATGTGATTATTATAAAAAGCCTTTATATTTTAAAACATTATTTCAAATGATTTTATTGTCAGTCTATCATATTAATTGTAATATTAAAATGATTTAAATCATAATTGTTTCAAAAATGTTTTGAAATAAAAAGCATAAACTAGAATTATCATTTATGGATTTTTTTTGTGTTCTACTTCAAAAATGTGGATATAAGTGATCACAGCTTAATTGATGTTGCTTCATATCTCTTCTATCTCTTTCAAATCACAGATTCTACTTTGAATGGAAGACCTCAACCAGACAAATGTCAGCTTCTTCATCCTTTTGGGATTCCCTACCAATGCAGAACTTCAGGTTCTTTTCTTTGTCCTCTTCCTCTTTGCTTATCTGATGATCGTGATGGAGAATATCATAATCCTTGTAGTTATTTGGGTCAATAGTAACCTTCATAAGCCCATGTACCTCTTTTTATGTAACCTTTCTT